GGGATTTAAAACATTGCAATAATTAGACTTTGTCGCCAAAGTCACAGATTTTAATTTTTGTTTGATATATTGGCCTTAGTAGACCCGTCAGCCCCCAATGTAAAAAGCTAAGCTGGAGAAATATAATTTTTAATTATTTGGTGATTATTTACCCCAAAAAATCAGATTAATCATTAATAAATAAGATTTAGTAATCCATTCAAGTATTTATCAGTGTAATTTTTCTTTGAAATATCGAGATAAGAAAGAGAGGAGGAGAGGGGGAAGATGAATGGCCACAAGAGGCCTATTTTTGTTACCCAAAGGGAAGGGCGTCGCGTTGTCTCGTTCAATCGTGCTTGATTTTGAATCTGCTGACAAGGATGAGTTCGTAAGTTACGCCGAAGATAAACAAAAGACCATCGATGAAGCAACATTACAAATTCCCTACCCACTTTGTGACAAATCAAGCAAATTCTGGTCAAATTTTAAGTAAGCAGGTTACTAATTTATCCTAGCATCCGAGTTGCACCTTGTTGCGTCAAAGTTGTCTGTATTCTAAGCTCTAAAGGTCAAAAGTAGTCACCGGTGTGGCCTGTATTACTTACATGTAGCGTACGTACGTAAGGGAAAAGAAGAGGAGGGACAACAAGACACGATATTATTTATTCGAGTCTCTCAATCAGGCTCTCTAAGAGTCCTATTCACTGTGCATTTGATCCAGAGGATGTGATTATCGCTTTTGAATGCAGGTTGCAAGTCGATAAAACGACAATCTGTTTAAACAAGGTAAACGTTATTTATGCCAGACACAAACTACGTAAATGGCCCCTCGACGGCGACCGTCTACATGTATTTTTATCAGGACATCCGAATATCAGCAGAGATGTTCGCGATGAAATTTTATCAAAGCACTTAGGTGGTACAATTTGGAGGCCGTTTAAGTGCTCATTTCAAGAAATCGCTTATAGATTCTGTACGCAACAAGTCTACCGAACTTCAGGAAGTACAAACGACAGTTGACAACGCTCAGGTGGTATCTAAAACTGTGAATGAGGACTGCGAGAAATCGGTGCGTCGTACCGGGAAACCGACAGGTTCGTCGAAAGCGAAATTATTTTAGGTCCAAAAAGTTCGAGCGGAATCAATCTCATCAAGAATCAACTGATCACGAACCAAACAACTCATCTGGATGGAGAGTTAATCAGGGTTTCTCGAAACTTGAGATAAGTAGAGAGAGAGACAGATAGTTAGGTAAGATAGATACATATATAACCCAAGGGACTCTGCTTATCTTATGTCACGAGGAAGTCTATTCCAAAGAGTGGCGCCACTATAGCTAAAGCTATTTTAATTTGTAGTAGTTTGTGCGCTACAAAGGAACATTTAGTTTATTCTTAGTCTCTTAGGTTATGCGCAGTTTCCCGCCTTTCAAATTTAAATCATAAATAATCTGGAGCTAAACCATGCCGAGAATTATAGACCATTGTGGCTCTTTGTATTTGCTGCCTGCCTCGCCACTTGCCTCAAGTGTCATCGTCGACAGAGTTTTAACTTTAGATAACTCAGTCTAAAAAACCGTCACAATTTTGCAATCCATTTTCCTTTTATTATATTTGTGGCACGGAATCCATGTTAATCTGTATCATTACTTACTATATATTTAATCCTTTAGAATAGGCAGAAGTACGACGTTTTATTTGGTAGACTCAGAGTCAATATCTATATTTGTAATTATAATCCTTAAATTCCTAAGGGATTAACTGTGGGTAAACGTAAAGTGTAGGTCTTTCACGTAAATTGAGTGAAATTCTGCGAAAAGCGTTTAATAGGATAAACATTCATTTCTGTATTCCTCTATTAATTCATTTATTGAGTATGGTTTGAATATGACAAATCCTTTATCCATAGAGATATTTTACTTGACAATCCCAAACTGACGGCATAAAAAAGGTCAATATTAAAAAGTTCCTAGTTGCATTTCTAATAATTCTTGTTTTTATTTTTTAGAGACTTGTCTAATAACCCGTTGAAGAATTTGCCATCTGACATTTTCGCCACAAATACTAAATTGGATGTGCTGTAAGTAGATTTTTCCTCTATTACGGACATCACAAAATATTTGTCTTTATAGTTTAAAACTCACTCACTCACTATTACGTGACGTGTTTGGGTTCCATTTTTAGCTTGAAAAACAAAAATTCTCTCTGATATTATCATTATACGCTGAGACAAACAGATCATGTGGTGACATCAGGAAGCCTTTGAGAAAAAACTATGCAATAAAGTAATTGAACAAAGATCCTCCTAGTTGAAGTGGAATTTACACAATTTCAGAAATTGAGAAGCCTGAAGAAAAATTCAGGCTTCAATGGGATTCGAACCCATGCCTTCCCGAAATTGGTAGGGTGCTTCTATCAACTGAGCTTAGAGTCTACTCGTTGAGACCAGGCACATTTTAGAGGGCTCTTCGTTTCCATGGAAGAATCTTATCATAATTTGTAAGGAAATAAATTTTGTTGATGAAAATCGAGCAAAGCAATGATCCCTGCAGGCAAGGTGCAATTGCACAATTGCGCCTTCGAAGATTAGTTTTGTACTTGATTTTCATCTGCAGGTCAAAATAAAACTTATTTCTTGAGAAAATAAGAACAAAATACACAATAGTGTAGACAAGATATCGTAAGAACTTTTGGAATCTTTTGAGGAGGAAACTTCGATGATGTATTCGAGAATTAGGAAAGATAAGCTTTTATATATTTTTACGAAGCAAAGGATTCCGAAAGGAACGGGGAAACTACGAATTATCGTATTATCGAAGAGCCTCCGAAAAAATAAAGGAAGCCCGCTTCAGTTCATCTATCAAGGGATAAGGTTCGAAAGGTGACAGCGAGACCGGTGTAGCTAGCGAATTGTGATAGAGGCCTCATGAGTAGTTTGTTCCTCCGCCAAAGGGCACATAAATATATACAGATACGTATGAAAGAAAAAATAAACTTGCTCGTATTGATAAGTGAGAATTTTAAAACACATGTGCATAGCTGCACCATTTTGATTTTGAAAGAAATTGTCTCACGGTAAAAAAAATATCAATAGTTACCAGTTTGAATTATCTATACAATCCTCAGGCTGCATTTCAAAACTGAGTTTATTCTACTGGTCATCTGTTTTATTACTTTATAAGCATCTAAGCTCTGTACTATGCTGGACTAAATTTTCGTTTAATCTACAGGCTCATGTCTGAAATAAAATTGCACCACCTACCTCCAGGAATCTTCGACAAGAACACACGGCTAATCCAAATGTCAGTAACACTTTTTTTTTTTCTGTGCGAACCATGTCTCCTAAATTTTAATCTAATCTTTGTGAAAAAACAATCCAAAATCGAGTCTGAGTCATGCAATGCAAGCATTAATAAGATTAAAAAATGTGCAAATCTTGTATTCATAATATGAAGCTATTTAAGGACAAAAGAAATTAACCTACAATTAATACAACTGGTCAACTTTCGCACCAGCGGACTGAAAACTCTGATCTCAGATCAGTTGCACAACAGTTGTAAAGGCCTCCAACTGCTTTTTGTTGTTGTCGTTGTTTTA